TTTAGTCTTCAACAAAAGATGGCACTGCAATGTTTGGTGAGCCAGTTATCTACAAAGAGGTTAGTTCTATTGGTGTACAGACAGACGATGATGGCTGTGAAAATGGTTGTACTTCCATGTACATCAGTACTTCAAACCAAGATATAAGTCACATAGAAACATCTCCACTGCAAGAACAAGGTGTTTTACTTGCTGTTGGAGATAACTTAGATATTGAAACTGAAGAAGGTAATGAAGAGAGAAGCACAGACATGGATGTAATTGATACAATGCTGAAAGGTCTTGAAGAAACCAATGATAACAACTTGAATAGAAACAATAAAACAGCATCATATGCAGACTCTGGTACCAATAAAGATAATGATAAGAATAGTGAAAGTGAACTTCAGAAGGAAGTTGGAAATTACTCAGGAGATTTGACAGTGCTCACAGGTGACAACAACATTGGGACACGAGATAATTCTGTGCAAGACTTGTCCAATGAAGGTGTCGAACAGAAAGCTTTGAAACAGAGTAAATATACTGAAAAGAAGCCATTTGAATGTTTTTACTGCAAAAAAAAATTTATTCGCAAGTGTCATTTGGTAGTTCACATCACAACACACACAGGAGAGAAGGCCTTTGAATGTTCTTACTGCAAAAAGAAATTTAATCAAAAGGGAAATATGATCACACACATCAGAACACATACTAGAGAGAAGGCATTTGAATGTTCTTACTGCAAAAAGAAATTTAATCGAAAGACACATTTGAGCAAACACATCAGAACACACACTGGAGAGAAGCCATTTGAATGTTCTTACTGCAAAAAGAAATTTAATGAAAAGGGAAATATGATCAAACACATCAGAACACACACTGGAGAGAAGACATTTGAATGTTCACTCTGCAAACAGAAATTTCATAAAAAGTCAATACTGATCAAGCATTTCAGAACACACACTGAAGAGAAGCCCTTTGAGTGCTCTCTCTGCAAAAAGAAATTTAAGCACAAGTGTCATTTGGTAGTTCATATCAGAACACACACTGGAGAAAAGGCATTTGAGTGTTCTTACTGCAAAAAGAAATTTATTCAAAAGGCAACTTTGATCATACACATCAGAACACACACTGGAGAGAAGCCCTTTGAATGTTCTTACTGCCAAAAGAAATTTAATCAAAAGCATCATTTGATTGATCACATGAGAACACACACTGGAGAGAAGCCATTTGAATGTTCTTACTGCAAAAAGAAATTTAATCGAAAGCCACATTTGATTGATCACATGAGAACACACACTGGAGAGAAGCCATTTGAATGTTCTTACTGCGAAAAGAAATTTAATCACAAGGGAAATATGATCAAACACATCAGAACACACTCAGGAGAGTAAGCACTTTGAGAATTCTTTCTGGAAGATCCATAGTTTTTTACAGAAGCTACAAGACTGTGTGTGATGAAGGGAACTGACTTGGTGATTGACTTGGCAATTTTTTTTACATATTTTCCTGTTCTGGAAGAAATATGTCTGTGTTTTGTAGTCTTACACTTTACAGCGTGCTCTGTCATTGAATGGAGCATGCATGGCAGTGTCTCAACTCATTTCTGATCAGAATATCTAGAATGTTATATGCTAAAATTATATGCTCTGTTTTCCCGAAGAAGCCATACACATCTAATAATGTATGAACAATTTTAATTATGATTCACTGCAACAAAATTGCCATTTACAGTTTTTTATTCCAACATAAAAGATCTTTAACTATTCATGACTTATTAGAACTATTAAATGTATATAAGTTTCCCATGCACGATGGTGTAAAGTACATTCAAACCTCAATTATCCGCACCCACTGGGACCAGACTGAAAAGTCCTGATGATCGAGGGTCCTGATAATCGAAAATATGAATATTAATGATATTAATGTAAACAAAGAAATCAAAACAAAGAAATTAATGGTTTCTTATGCCGTAGCGATGTTTAAACTTTTCTAACCACCTGGTTGACGATTTTTAATTGTGATCTGCTGACTCAGTACTCAATTGTGAGAAATTGGCTTTCTCTGGAATCTTGTTGTTTGCAAGCTTTACAAGATACTTTCGTTTAATGAACCTATCAATGTTAAGCCCCAGGGGGGCAGGGGTTGGGGATTAGACCAATATTTGATGCCACATAGTTGGTCATTTTCCATGTTATGCTGTCCCCACAGGTACGGATGGATATGGGCAAAGTAAATCTAGTACTTAGAAAGTCCCAAAAATGTTCTGATGGATCTTATTGTTGCAAAGTACTACATATTCCATGATTTCCTAACTTGAATGTCATCCAAGTCTTCTTCATATGCAGACTCTGGTACCAATAAAGATAATGATAGGAATAGTGAAATTAAACTTCAGAAGGTAAGATGGGAATTAGAGCAAACGCAGGAAAACCATGTGAAATAAAATTAAACTAAATACTAACAAATAGCCGCTATTTAGAGACAATTTGTCAGTATCAATGAACCAGAACACAATGAAGATGAATCCACATGGGAGTTGAAACGTTCTTTTGGTAAAAAGAGTAAATATACTGGAGAGAAGCCCTTTGAATTTTCATACTGCAAAACTAAATTTGATTAAAAGACAAATCTGATTAAACACATCAGAACAAACACTGGAGAGAAGCCATTTGAATGAATCACAAGTCAAATTTGATCAAATACATCAGAATACACACTTGAGAGAAGCCATTTGAATGTTCTTACTGCAGAAAGAAATTTAATCAACTTTAATAATAAAAACCATGCTGAGACACACAGTCATCATAGTATGATTGCGTAGCGGAACGATCTGTCACTCACTCAGTCACTCACTTTCCTGTAAACTGCGTTGTTGTCTTAGTACACTTCTATCTTTTAACTTAATTGATTAATACCAGTTAGAAATTCATCTTCACGTTCTACCAGTTTCTTTTTCTTTTTTTGCGAAGCGATTGAAATTGATATCCTCGATGGAGATCTAACTCTGGTCCCCTCGTGTCAACGTTAGAGACATTCCACTTGACTGCATGTGTCCATAGCTATTACATCATGCCTATTTTGCTTCCTTTTATGAAACACCACATCAAATGAAGGGATTCCTGTGTCATAATCGATAAAACTGCTACGAGGATCAAAATGTGTTTAAAATTCTATTCTTTGGCGTAAATTGAACAAATTGAAAGCGTTTTTAAAACAGTTTTCATGTACTTCGAGTGCGTTTGGACAGTTAGAAAATGTCAGGGAAAATGTAAGCTTACATGAAGTTATGTTACCATTGGCAGTTTGTCTCTGTCCGAGGTTAACATTTCAGAATCCAGTTGATGTCGAAGTTTACCAGAACGAGTAGCCAAAAACACAAGTAACGAGGTCTGTCGGCCCACCATTCGAATTTTCACTCAAATCAGTAAATATTTCAACATCATTTAAGGTCCTTATACATCCAACAACCTTTGCATGACTTTACAAATACGAAAATTTTCACCTTTTCTATAATATGTTCCTTAATATGACAGTTATGTAATATTTTATATACGGAGTGTCCAAACGTTAGGCAGCCTGACTTTTAGCCCAGAACTAAACGTCAGTCAATCGATTTCTTTTTTGAAAAATCGCCGGAACAACCGTAATTTCAATTGTGGAGGGCTATAATTGGACCATTGTTTCTTTAGAGTGGTTACTTTAGCGTATTTATCGCTATTACACTTTGGCTCTTTTGTTTTTTATTGTCTCTACGCGACTATTACGATTTATTACACTCTAATTATTACACTTTGTTTCACGGGTTTATGAAAACCACTCTGTTTAGAAGGGATAAGCATTACGATGTTATTTGATAAGCAGTTGATTAGGCCATTTGATATTTTACATAATATTTTTACATATTCATTTTCCTTTAATGTGAAAGACACAAAATGTTTTGGCGATAATAAGGTTTTGTTTTGGCAGTCCCCCGCTATATAAGACTCGAGGGAAAATAGTATATTCTATGTGCTTATAATCTACATAAAAGTATCTTACCCATAATACAAGGTTGGGAAACACTGTTAATTTCGTAAATGCAGTTTATTATATCTTAATTTTTTATATAATCAGTTTTATCAAACTTATTTAACTTAACATCAAGCACAAAATATTCCACCGGTTACTTTGACAAAGTGCCATCATAAAAGCTACAACTAAAAATGTTATCAATACAATTTGAATTAACTAAAAGAACTGTAATGATAGAGTCCATATATCTCTAGTGTTGAAAGTATTATAAAATTTTGAAAGAAAGAACCATTAATTACCGGTAAGGTTGCTCTTACTGACCTTATCGATCGCATTTTCTAAAATATTTAGGATACTACGCGCGCTGTGATTGGTCGAAAACCATGTTTGATTACAGTTTCTAAAATATTTAGGATACTACGCGCGCTGTGATTGGTCGAAAACCATGTTTGATTACAGTATCAAAACACGCTCGCGCGCGTCAAAAATTTCTTTTTTCCCGCCGTTTGCATTTGTTGTTGTTATCATTCATTTTCAAGAACAATGAACGAAGAAATGCCTACTGCTACGCGTCGTGGTTTCCTACGCTTCTCTCGTGCTCTCCCTACATCCCGCGTGTTTTGATCAGAGTATCAAACACGGAATTTCGTCTTTTATTCCTTAACTCAAGAATATTGATCAGCGCTTGCTTAATGGGCTTTTGCTCATTGATCTTAAGAAAGCTTTCGATTTAGTTGACCATAGTGTCCTTCTTTTCAAGCTTGAAATGTATGGTTGTTCTCTTTCTTCTCTTGAATGGTTTTCATCTTATCTGTCTAACCGCTCTCAACGTACCAACTTTAAGGGTGAGTTATCAAATTCTCTTCCAGTATCTCTTGGTGTTCCACAAGGTAGTATCCTTGGCCCCCTTTTCTTTTTGCTTTTCATTAACGACCTTCCACTTTAATTTATATTTCTGCTGTAGCAAATATTACTATGTTTGCTGATGACACTTCTGTTCTGGTTTCTGRCCCYTCGRTCTCTGATTTAAATGATCTTCTTAACTCTATTTCTACTGAGGTTTACTCGTGGGCTACGTTTAACCGTATATGGCGCTTAATACCAAAAAAACAAAATCGCTGATATGATAACTTCGCACCAGAAATTCTCTCATTTACCTGACCCTAATCTTAAAATTCTCATATAAATGGCACTTTAATTGACCAGGTTAGTCATGCTAAATTACTTGGWATTACTGTTGACTCTTTCTTAACCTGGGAACAACACATTGATAATATGTGTTCTCAAATTAGCAGTAGACTATGTCTACTTAGGCGWATCCAGCCATTTCTAACTTATGAAGGCCAGTGCAGCCTTCTTTTCTATAATTCTTGTATTCACTCTACCCTTCTGTACTGTTCTAATGTATGGGGCAATTGTTCTCTTTCTCTTCTTCTTCGTCTACTTCGGCTTCAAAAACGTGCAGCCAGACTAATTCTTGGAGCCGATTTTACCCATACATCCGTCTTTTTACTAAACTTAAGTGGCTGCCCATCTCACTTCTTATTAATCTCAGGAAACTTGTTTTTCTTTTTATTATTGTTAACAAAGCTAATTCCCCATTGTGCCTTAAAAGCAACTTCAACATCCTGTCTTCTCTTCGCTCCTCTGGTGTAACAACTAGAGCCTCCTCTATTACTGACCTTCATGTAATAAAACCTCGCGGTACGAACTTTGGAAAACGTACGTTCACTTTCAGTGCTGCTTATCTTTATAACTGTCTTGACTCTAATCTTAAGCACTTACTTTGTCACCCTGACCCTTCTGCCTCCTTTACTTCTAACCTATCTAGTTTTAAGTCTAAAATTCTTCAATTATTTCTCCAGCTTTCTTCTAGTGTCTCACACTTAGAAGAACTTTTCTGTTTSCAATGTCGCTATAAACTTCGTTGTCAATGTACTACGTAGTTTATTTTGCTGTCGTTGTTAATTCCCGTTACGTTCTAAATCACTAAAACACTTAGCTCAATTTTTTTGATTATAGTATGTATTATGTAATGTTTGTCTTAGTTATATATCACAATTTGTATATCTTATATCATTATTTGTAAATATTATTTTTTATATTTTGTAATTGTTTCAGTAGTGTGAGGGCCACGTGTTAGATAACTCTATGGGTTAACCGTGTCACCCTCCTTAAATAAAGTTTATTGTATTGTGATACTGATGTAATAAGTAATTGTTGATTCATATCACTGCTACTTCGAAGCAGTCTCTCAAAAATGTTTCCATGAACGCCATCTGGGGATATGGCTATTCCCTACATTACATACGATGAATTTCATGTCATGAAACCATTTTTAAGTGACTAATTCAAAGGTTGTATATTCAAATGAAGACCTCTATGACGTCATTATCATTAGGATATTGTAAAATTGAACAGTTCGTAATTACCAAATGATGGCACAACGTTTGCCTACAGCCTCTCATGCAAGCTGTGTAAGTCAACTTTACAAAATGGTTACAACTGTTATAGGGTATTAAAACAATTGCTTGATAGCCTCTTAATGGAATGCTTTATAACAATAGTATTCTTCACGCCATGTTGAAARGTAGCCGTTCCTTTRCATCGAAGCGAGACGACGTTGAGCGTGCAATGATAAAATCAGGTATCTATCATTACACCCTCAACGGTTGTCTCGCTTGGAAAGGAACGGCTACCTTTCACGTRCAGTGCTTTCAAAATGTCGGACTGCAAGGAACCGTGAAGGAGACTATTGTCAAACGTGATCATTTCATGAAAAGCCTCTGGAAGAAAAT